AGGAATTGAACCCTGGAGTCTATTGTTTGACAAATCTAGTTGTATGAGTGATTTTTGCTGGAATTGATTTATTTGACCTTGAAATTGGTTATGATGGAGATACAAGCGCTCTAACAAAGGTAGGGTGAAAAGCCAAGGTGGCAACGTGCCATTAAGTAAGTTATAAGATAAGCCTAGATACCATAGTTTTGAAAACCTACTTGCATGAAAGGGAATGGGACCAGAAAACTGATTGTGTGAAAGGTCAAGAAAGTAAAGTTGTGTGAGGTTTGCAAGTGATGATGGGATTTGTCCGCTAAGATTGTTAGAAGAGAGTCTTAGCCAAGTAAGTTGGGATAGGTTCCCTAGGAAAGCTGGAATGGGACCAGAAAACTGATTATTGGAGAGGTCAAAATCAGTAAGTTGTGTGAGGTTTGCAAGTGATGATGGGATTTGTCCGCTAAGATTGTTAGAATAGACGTATAGGGACGTAAGTTGGGATAAGTTCCCTATGGAAGCTGGAATGGGACCAGAAAATTGATTTTCGGAAAGGCCAAGAGTGGTAAGTTGTGTGAGATTTGCAAGTGATGATGGGATTTGTCCGCTAAGATTGTTAGAATAGAGGTCTAGGGAAGTAAGTTGGGATAAGTTCCCTATGGAAGTTGGAATGGAACCTTCCAAGTTGCAGCTAAGACTTAGATTCTGTAATGACTTCAGATCTCCTATAGACTCTGGCAATCGCCTTCCGCAATCCACACCCCTTAAATGCAAATTTTCGAGAGGACTGCTCCAATTGGAAGTTCGAAGATCAACAGTGAGGTTTTCTTTTCCACCTAAATAAAATGTCTTGAGATTTGGAAAGCGGAAAATACTGTTCGGAAAGTTTCCTCTTAACAAACTCTCCTGAAGATCAAGAGTAGTCAAAGAAGAAGAGAGATTCATGAAGAAACGAGGATTAGCAGATGTCATGTTCACTCCACTAAGCACAAGTTCTCTCACCTCACTTAAGTTGTGAACAAGATTTCTGAAGGTAGTTGTTTCCAGGATCAATTTA